GCTTCCATTAAGTGGGGTGAGATGACAGACTTCAATCCTGGCCACTTGGTTTTCCAATCTTTTCCCCGTCCTCAGACCCACACCCTAAACCCTAAACCCCTAAACCCTAAACAACCTCAGACCCACACCCTAAACCCTACTCTTTTTGCAAGGATCAACTTCGACATGCTGACGGTTATCCAGAAGGCACCTCGCGCGGCAGTGTAGTTACGTACAAGGGTTTAGGGTTTCGGGCTTAGGGTTTAGGGGTCTTCAAGGGCTTGGTTCAAGTTGGAGAGGTGCTGGGGATTTTTAGGGGGCTTTGGGGAGTAGGGGGGATTGGGGGGCATTGTACTCCCTAAACCCTAAACCCTGGCATTTCTTAAAGGGCTGTATACTCCCTATTTACTATTTACTCGACGTGCAGTTTCTGAGGGATCTGAAGGTTTGGCTTAGACCTTCCTTCCGTACATGACGGTTTGCATAAACTCGGGTCCCCACGGCTAGGGGGGCCCGATATAGACCCCAAAATTTCCTTAGTCCTGGTATTAGCGACCCTCTAGACAATGAGTCCCCGGCCTTTGCAATATCCCATATGATTCCCAGATGAGGAGCACAAGTTGAGCTCATACTCCCTCAACGCCGTGTCGGCTGAGTTCTTAGGGGAGCAGAAGGAGGACGATGGGGCTAGGGCTTAGGGTTTGGGAGGAGCTGGTATTGTTCAGTTCATTCTGATGTTAAGCAGCCATTTCTCTCCCGCTATTCAAAACCTGGCACCCGAGCACGCGTGGGCCATTTTCATGCGTGCTTTCCCTGCACCTCCCCAACTGTTGCTTTTGAGATCCTGCTGATAGGCCTATAGAGCAAAATCCTACCGGTGCAAAGCAGAATGACTTACAAATGGAGAGGTGGTTTTGAATTTCTGGTTTTCTGGAACACAGGGAGGCATGTACCGGAAGAATTGCCGGCATAACCTCGGCAAAAGCATATGCCATATGCGAAAGATCGAGTCGAAACTCTGCTGCGGATTGTCCGGAAGGTATTATTCGTAGATCGAGGTTCGGGCAGTTCCACAAGCTTCGTCATTTTTATCACGGGTGAGAGCTTGCTGTACACACTTGTTTTGTTGGAGAGGGTGGTGCCAATGAGGAGGTCACCACAATGCAAAGGATCTGCCAGGCACCGAAACCATAGTCATAGTTTGCATTCCATTTCCACTTGCTTTTCCGTTACCGGGTAACATCCCCTAATAATTTCTATATGAGGTACAGTCTAAACTTCTTAAAAGGGGGTTACATAGGGGACTCTATAGGGTTCCTGCTTTCGGCTTCTTAAGGGGGATGCTCGGAGTTTAGACTAGCTCATATAACGCAATCCCAATATTCTCCCTATACAAAAACCTAAGCCATAAACCCTAGTACCCTAAACCCTAAACCCCCTCTGCGCTGATCAGCCCGGCCCCTGACTCCAACTTCCTGCATGCCGAATAGCTTAAGCGTTGGTATCTTGCTACGTTGGGCTTACCAGGACGAGCCCTAAGCCCCCTACCCTAAACCCTAAACCGTACAGGGTCCAGGGTCTCGGTATACAGTCGTTACAAAACTTGCCCTTTGCTTGGAAGAGGACGGGGGAACGTTAAACTGCGAGGACCAAACCCCAAGCCCCAAAACCAATACACCCTAAATCCAAGGCCTGCATTTCTCAGACCCTAAATCCTACAGAGCGGAACCCGGCAGGACGTGCATCACAGCATGATCGGTGACCTCTTCCTAGGCAGCGCCGAAAGCCGGCGACGGCTTGCTGTCTACTGCTTGAAGGACGGGTTTAGGGTTCAGTTGCCCAGAAGGAGGGATTGCGTTATATGGCACTTAAAGGAACAAGCATGCAGGGACCTAACCCTAGTCAACTGAGGCTTACAAAACGGATACTCATCCCTTACCTCTAGACCTTAAACCTTAAACCCTACACTCTGCAGGTGTAAAAGAGATGCCTATAAACCCTAAACCCTAAACTCGGCGGGTGCAAACTGGAGCGGTTGTTGGAAAGTCCAGCGAAGACGCCTCCTTTGGACATGTCCTGCAAGCGGTCCAGAGACAGTTGGACGCCCAAAGCCCGCAGACTGCGGCGAACAGAGCACAAGCTATCAGGTTGAGGATGACGAGGGGACTGGCGACCAGCAGCACAGGTGAAAGGCCTGACTGGACGGGCGGCAGCAGTGCTGGAGCAAGAGACTGTGTGCAGGCACTACAGGCGCTCTTAGTCACCTACTTCTACCCCTAGCACGGCGGGAGAACCTGACATCCAGGACACCGAGTGGGCCATCAACATACGGGCTATGCTGCAGCCCTTCCTGGAAGCTTGGCACGACAAAGTCATTGACAGAAGCGTGGAAGAGGTCATGGAAGTGCTGGATAGCCAGGAAGTGGAGCTCGAGGAAAGGGGTATGATGGCAGTGGCGGCGGACGGCACCAAGCGCCCTCTTACTGACCTTGAGAAGGAGGAGATAAGGCACCACAACCAGATGCTCAAGGAGGAAGACGACCAAGCACTCAAGGATGACGAGGAGAGGGAACAGAGATACCGCGCGGCCTGCGCGCAAGAATGTGAAGACTGGTGCACGGCGGAGGCCCTCGCTGTTGGCCAGAAAAGAAAAAGGGTTGTGATGATCAGGGTTAGGGTTCTCAATGACGAGGGCATGGCCTTGCTCGACCGGGACATGGTGGTGAACGATGTGGGGGTCGAAAATATTTCCATCCAGGTTTCTCAAAGGGTTGTTGCAGGACCAGTGAGCCCGGAGGATGATGGCGAGGAGGTCATCGCTCAGCAGGAAAGGGAGGCTGCAGATGATGAGGTTCTGGAAGCGGCGTCGCAAAGACCTGAGTGCGCTGGCCATGCGGCGGAGGCGGACAGAGATGGGGATGACCTGCCCCCGGAAGCTCTGGCGTACTACTGCTTATGGAAGGAGGGTTTCAGCGAGGCCACTGTCAAAGAAAGGTGGGGAACCAGAAGGCTGGATGAGTTCAAAAGACGGCCTAGCGCGCGGAAGGATGATGGAGACGCTGGCCAGGCGTCGAACGCATCCACGCAGGAGTTCATGCCGGAGGCAGACAGGACGAGAATCCGGGAAGTCGCTTGCTTTGACGTTGCCCAGCTGGACTTGAACCTCGCCAGATGGGACCAGTGGCGGCTGGGCCACGTAAGTTCGAGGAGTATCAAGAAGGCGGGGGTTGACCCCCTCCTTTGTGTGAAAGAATCCTTTGCCTAGCCGAGGACCAGAGCCGAGCACTGGAGGCAAGGGATGGAGAGCCAGGGTACCGGCAGCTGACTCGACCTCGTCCAGATGAGAGCCATGCTGCAGCGGAGACAAGTGCTAGTACGCTAGGTCGCTGTGAGACGATGCTGGACGAGGATGCCGTGTCGCATCAGGATGCGGTCATTGACCAGGCTGTGAATGCGGGGTCTGAAGTACATCTACCAGTGCCTGCCCTACCGCGGCACCTCAACCCGGAGTTCCCGCCTGATGCCGAAATTCTCCAAGGCCCTGGACCAACAGCTCAGAGAGTGCAGAGGGATCAGGAGGAGGAGGCAGAAGAGCGTCGTCAGCACCGTGAATGGGAAGAGTGAGATGTGGTCTCCTGAGTTTCTGCCACGTTCAGCAGGGAGAGGGTTAGGGTGTCTCCAGGGAGTGTGGAATGAGGGACGGAAGCCTTGTCGTCGTGGATGTTGACACATGTGTGGCGGAACCGTAAGAAGTTCTGCTACTGAGTGTCAGATTTGAGCTTGAATGGCTGCTGGAGAGTGTGGCTGAACTGTCTTCGACCTTACTAGATAGTATTCCGGTAACCTTGTGCAGCTGGAAAAAGGTCCGCAAAAAAAAAAACTCGGCGGGTGTAAAAGAGATTCCTAAAGCAACCCTAGACACGAAGCCGTGCGGGTGTAAAAGAAGTGCCTAAAACAAACCTATGTAACCACTGAAGAGATTAGCGCGTCTGTCTCTGTGAGACTATCGAGATTAGACTGAGACAGTCACGCATGTAGTGGTCCATACATGGGCCTACCCGAGCGGTTTAGGGTTTCCAGTTTAGTGGTTTAGGGGTTCAGGGTTTAGGGGTTTTGAGTTTCGGGGTTGATGGTTTAGGTTTTAGGGTTTCGGGCTTAGGGTTGAGGTTTTAGGATTTAGGCTTTAGGGATTTCCGTTGCAAGGGCAAGCCCTAAACCTAAACCCTGTGGCCCCCAAAAGGGAGGCTGGATGTTTAGAAGCTTCCATTTTGCAGTCCCCTATAAACCGTAGGCCTAAAGTAAAGGGCCCTGAGCCCCAAGGCAAATAGCTACAGACGCAGATTGAGGGCATTTGAAGTTAGTGGCCTTTTCTTTGATGCCGTATGATAAGGACGACGATCTCGGGTGAGGTACCTTATACTCTGCGCAACCAAGGAATCTAAGATCATACTACTTGTAACTACATTGGCTTCTGCACTGGGCGCGGATTTGGCGTTAAGGGCCCTGATTTTCAGCGATACCCAATTAACAGGATGCCTATCTGCCTATGCGCCTCATGGACAAGCTCCTTTGTATGTTCCCTGGCCGGCACCGGGTTCGCAGGCATTGTCAAAGAGAATTCCGGATAAGTGGCCCTCAAGTGGAAACCCTTGTAGGCGTATAAATACCCGCATAAACTTCCTTTCTACCCATTACCCTTGCATGAGCCTTGCATGGGGGCCATTGCCTGGTAGCTACCCACCCAGAACTGTTGATTTGCATCCAGAACTGTTGATTTAGAGCACGGGCAGCCGCTGAGAGTTAGGCAAACATGCTGTTATCTGTTGCAAAAGTTGCCGCACAGAGCCGGCCTGCAAAAGGAGCTGTTCGACAGAATGACGGATGAGACTTGTCAGTTCATGCCAATCAGAACCACATTGAGCGTTGCTCCAACCCTTAGTCAAACCTCCAAACGCAACACCCCCTCAGCTTCCTGATGCTCAGCCCTTTGCCTCAGCATCTGGAGGTACAACTACGTCGAAATGGCGCGTGTGACTGGGACACCTATCAACTTCTTGTTGAACCGAGGGCAGATGATCAAAGTTCAGATTCCTGGCAGCATTACGATCAGCAGTAGCATGGATAAGCGATTAGGATCTCAAGCGTAACCGATCTCGCATTATGTAGGATAGGCGGCTACTCTGGGACAGTATGGTTGGGTACTTCATGGGCATTTCCAATAGAGGGTCTGCTGCGTACTCCACGGTACTGCTCTTCAAGTACAGAAATTCCCAGATGAAAGCCTTGACTGTTGCAAGTTCATGGGCCTTGCACCTAAATCCTAAACACTAATCCTTGCTTGCTTTTGCTCCTGGGCCCTTCACTCAGGTCGCAGCTCCTGCGCAAAGCCGGGCAGTGCGGCTTCGTAATGCCGACTCAGATGCTGGGACAAAATCATGCGGTGTTTCCTCAAATCAGGGGTATCTTGAGGAGCTTTAGTGGGTCCCCATAATAAGGAGCGTGGTATTGTGGGTTCTCTATTGGGGTCTCCCTACTTTTCTAAGCTGTCATGTAGGGAGGTTGTGGTGCTGGCGACGGCTGTGTCCTTGGCAGTGCTCTGCCGTTACTCGGTTTCCACCTACCTAAGGGTTTAGGCTTGAGGGATGAAACCTCCAAGACCCTTTTCCACCTCCCTGTATCATTTGCCCTGATGCCTTTTCTTTCTCGTGCAACAACCATCAAACCTGTAAGACCCCTACAAACACTGCTGTCCGTTTCTTGAGGTTAATGGGTTTGTGCAGGCTGGTAGCCCCTAGAAGCCTGATTTATAGATTACAGGATATTACAGGTAAGCCTTCTGCAGTCTCTGGAACTAAACTCCCGAATATCCCCAAAAACCAAATCCTTCAACAGGACGAACGTTTCCTACCATACCCTGGAGCCCTAAACCCTAAACCCCAAACCCTCATAAAATCTGAACCCTAGGCTGTGCAGGGTATGGGGTATGGCACTGTTTGCCAAGTTTCGTCAGCCCGGAACGCCCCCGTGCCGCCGCGCAGAGCCGAGGAAAAACGAGGCCTCAAATGACAAGTTCGACGGCGCCACGGTGTTGGATCCTCGCACAGGCTACAGTGCTCACACTTCTAGGAAGTTTGGTGGTGTTATATAGGGTTATATAGGTTATATAGGGATAATGGAAAAGAAAATGGAAGCTACTATAGGTTTAGGGTTTAGGGTTTTCATTGCGTAGGGAGCTGCTTGGTGGCCCAAGGTACGTAAAATTATTGCGCAGGTACTTCTACTGAACCACCCTTGCGTGCAACACCTAAGCTAGACGTACGCCTGAAGCAGCTGGGGCGTGATCTCCTCTTGTGCCTGGTCACCTACCTGTTATCGTTATGACAATACAATTCCAGGCTCACAGGTGATCGAATCTATCTGGGGCTAGAAGCAGCATAACAAGAGTAGTTTGCAACTCATTGGTTGGAAATTCCTTCTGACCCGTATATAGCCCTACAAGTTGCTGTGCATGGACCTCCTAGAATGATCGTGAGCGGCTCAAATTCCGGGTAAATGGGGTTTCGTTATTATAGTAAGTTCATTTGAGTGCCTTAGCAGCAACCCAGAAAAGCGTCTGTAGCTCCCCAGGCTAACATGTTAGCAGCATACGCAAATCCTTTTCAAAGGGACCGTCGTCTTGAAAGCCCCCTTTGGGATTCTACAGTTGTCCTTAGGGTTGTATAGAGTGTACAAGTCATCTGCAACAAGATCCCAAATGGAGGGTCCACACCGTGCGCCCATGGTTCCTGACTTTTTGGGGTAGGGTAGCAACCCTAGACGCTAAACCCGAAACCCTAAACCCTAAACCTGGCTTAAAATAGAGGCTTCTACCCGCAGCCAATCGCGACACTGGACTTTGCGTCACTGCGGCTCTGCTGAAATTCTGATGGCGGGATTTTCCATTATGTGGACCCCCCCAAAAATACCAATAGTTTGGGGGGGCTCCGTACGGAGCCTTGAGCCAAAAGAGGATGCAATAAGGTTTAGTGCAATGAAAATCAGCCCAGCAAGTCCCGCATGTCAACAGCAGTATCGTAAAGCAGAAAAAGAAGAAGGGAACATCGTCATTCCCACTACTTACACCCAAAGCAGAGCCTCAAGTCACCACATCGGGCGACATCAGAAACGACCCAAATTTTGGAGAACTCCTTCAACCTTATAAAAGGGACCTCCACAAGGCCCAACATAAATCCCAATGTACTATAGTCCTCATTCTAGGGACCCCCCCAAAAGGCCCAATATAAACCCCAACATACTAGGGACCCCTAAAAGGCCCAATATCAACCCCAAAATACTATAGTCCTTATATGGACCCCTAAAAGGTCCAATATAAACCCCAAGATACTATACACAGTCCTCATTATAGGGACCCCTAAAAAATACCACTAATTTATAAGGATTAAAGTATTTGGCCCCTTTTCTGGAAAACTACCACGCTGCAAAACATGATGTGCATGAGCTGAGCCGGCTCGTGATGCCTGTAGGGAAGGGATAAAAGAAAGGCCCTATACCTTTATAGTTTTCCTTTAAGGAGACAGAATATTGTGTATATGGGGGTCTTGTTATGCTTATTCTACCTACATAGGGGGATTTTATACTTAAACAGAAACCTAAAGCCCTGGGCCTAGTCATATAGCCAGTGTCGCACGGGCAGGTTGCTGCAACCCTGCTGCCAACACCCTGATCACCAGATTCCCCACAAAACTCTTGAGAAAAGAGGCAATCACAGAACATGCCCGACCATCGATGATGCAAGTACTGGCTTTACAGTCCTTACAGATTTCTTTGCAGGAGTCCCCAGGATCCTAACGACTTCAGTGCTTTAAACGTAGTCCGAATTCAGATCGACAGCTGGCAAAAATACTGGTCATACAATACCCTACGTGCCACAGACATGTAAATTCTGAACTAAACCCTAAACCAATCTTAGCAAAGTCGCGCCCCAAGGTATCCTTCCATCATGATGGCACACAACCTGTGCTACTGCACGCTACTGAAGCCAGAGCAGGCCATGTGCATGCACAGAACCGAATAACAGGTCTACGGCATAGGGTTTAGGGTTCAGGGGGCAGGGTTCAGGGTTTGGAGTTTAGGGTTCAGGGTTTAGAGTTTGGGGTTACGACTCATTAGGTGGGGGTTTAGCACCCTTCTTGGGCACCGGAAACCATCCAAGCCAGAACCTTAAGTAAAGCGCCCCAAACCTATAAGCCTAAGATCTACACCATCAGCCAGAATCCTTCAGTCCGAAGCCCCAGACAATGAGTTTTGTATCCCTCTACTCTACGCCCTCTTATGGTGTGGTTCGGGATGCCGATGCTGAAAATCTCAACATCCCTCATGCCTGGAGTTTTGGGGGTTCAGCATTGTCGCAAGTTGGGTTTAGAGCGGGATTTGGCAGGTTTCAGGGTGTACAGCTGGAAGAGAACATGCATGCTCTAGCTCCCAAGGCCACCCGTGCCTAGAGGAGCCCGCATGGGCATGGGTTAGAGTTGAGCAGCCTTTAGGGTGTGGTACGGGGAACCGCCTTTAATTAAACCTAAACCCTATACCCTAAACAACTTCGTAGTTTCTTTACTCTATCCACCGGCTGTGGGCTCAAGGTTATTGGGGTTTAGGTTAAATCTGTTTAGGGCATAAACGCGGGCGCATGACTACCATGACTGTCATGTTAGCCTCAGGCTGCGGAAAAAACATCGCCAACCTAGACCGTCTCCGTTAAGTATATAAAATATGGCTTTGGGTATGTTATAATCAGATCCCCATATACCCCATAGTCTATCTACGACTATAAGCCCCAAACATTATGGTAGACTCTACTGTCCTGACAGTGGGCCCCTAACTTGGCCCCTACCTGTTTCCTGAGTCACAACTACCTGCCCTAAGTTGGCTTTGTAGTCTATAATGATTCAAGGTTTATGGTTTACAGGGGTGGGTTTGTAGAAACTTTGTATTCTTCATTATCCTTAATCCCTACATAATTCCAAGAAGCCCATAATGTTCTGATTTCATAGGGCCCCCAAACCTACTCTAGTTTAGGGGTGCAGAAGAACGCTAGCATGAGGTTCCCGTACTAGGGGCCTATAGTTCAAACCTTGGATAAACCCTCGCACTGTTTCTCCTGCTACCAAAAAAACCCAAACCTTAAAACCTAAACCTTACTCCCTGAAACCCTAAACCCTAAATCTCGAGCCCTTAACCCTGAAACCTGAACTCTAAACTTAAACCCTAGACCGGCTCAGGTGAGGGACCTGCCGCAAGAGGAGTACACCAAGACTCCCAACGGCTGTAGCTCGACTCGGCTCTGGGGTTGGTTTAGGGTTTAGGGTTTATGGGTTTAGGGTTTAGGATCTGGGGTTTGGGGGAGGAATGGTGAGAGTACTAGCAGCATCTTACTATTATTGCTGCAAGTCTCATGATTGCTAGTTACTAGGGTCCTCATTGCGAAGATACATGCTTGTGCAGGCTTTTTCTTAGGCATTTTGCTTATGTAAAAAACAAGTGCGTGCCTATTATACTTCAAAACATCTTCTCTTATGACATGGGCTCCAAAGCTCCAAAAAGGACCACCAATTTCTAGACCCTCCCCCTAACTGGGTCAGGCTGTTCTGGCATCAGTCCCGCCTAAAAGGGATATTGACCTGCTCCGATGCAAGCAGGAGGGCCCACAAATTTCGGCTACAAATTCCAAAGCTCGCCCAAAGCAAAGGCCTTTGGTTAGCTGGGGATGGAAAAGAAAATGGAAACTACTATTTAAGGTTCAGGGTTTAGGGACTCTACCTGCCTAACTCCTACACTTCGGACAATATGCCGCTTGAATCGCTTCCCCCTATCCTCTACACTCTAAGTCCTGATGTTAACCTTCATGGCAGCTAGTCTGGTTTGGATTGAAGGCTTCCGGGGCACATGATTTAGAAGCCTAAGTTCTTGTCAATTGACAATCCTGCCATATACCTGCAGTATAGTACAACTCCAAAACATTATTCCAATTGTTCAGGCCCTACATACCTTCATCACCTTGCACCCTAAAAGCCCCCAAGAAACAAGACACCTTCGTGTCAAATTGCAGCTTCCAGGCAAGTTGCGCATTCAAGCAGGGCATGCCCTCGGGGCCTCTACGGAGGCATGCCCAAGTTTGTGACAACTATGCCATGCAGCTAGCCTTAAACCGTTACCCCAAAGCCCCCTACTCCCCCAAATCCTATATCGCTAAATCCTAAGTTCCATGCCCCCAAACCCTTAAACCTTCTACCCTAAACCCTAAAACCCCAAACCCTCTACCCCTGTATTCCCAGATGGTTTGTCCAAGAGACTGCAAGGCTACTTCCTCAAGAGCTCCCGGCGCCGCGGACTGCTTCCGATGATCTTAGAGGAAACAGAAATAGGGTTTAGGGTTCAGGGTTCAGGGTTTAGGGTTCAGGGTTCAGGGTTTAGGGTTTAGGGTTCAGGGTTTAGGGTATAGAAGTTATAGGGGGATGTATGCGTTTTAGGGG